CTGCTGGGGATGACCAAAGGATGTTTTACCAAGGAGCAACTGCCACAACTAGTTTTGTCAATGCGATAAATACCCGGTAAAAACGCTGATTTCACATTTGTGTCAGCCTGTACGTATGCTCAACATGGTCTTGAGAACTTCGCGAATGTCTGGGGAATATGCAGGACTTTTCCACGAGCGGAAGGATTGAATTCAACACACTTGGTGTTTCATGCACTATTGCCCTGGCCAAAGCCCAGGTGACAACTATGACATGGGCAGTTTCTGATAGCCAGTAGAAGTTCTGGCTGTGTTGGAGTTGATGGACGCTGATCTTCAGAAACTCCCACATGAAAGGGACGTCGGCCCAGCTAGACATGGGACCTCAAGTGTTTCGAGAGCTGGCGATTTACCAGCAATCTCGGACAAACAACTTCAAACAAGCATCTGGAAGATGGGGGCTGCGAGTCATTCAAACTAAAACCTGCCTATAGATTTTAGCTACGCCCTTCTCGGATGGTGAAGGCAGGATGACCATCTGGAAAGAAAGTCGGTCCATGATGTAGTGCAAAAAGACTTGACTCTTGGCATGCAGTTCCAGGCAATGCCATCTCGACTTACTGTAACGTCGAGACGGCCAGCTCTTGCAATTGGTCATTCATCAACGGAATATGCCACGAACCTGGACCTTTGCGTAGTTGTTATGCAACGGGTCATGACTCATGTGTAGTTTTTAGAAGCATGATGAACGCCCGCGGTGATCTGCTGAGCATGAGCTCGTCATATTCAGTCTGCGTTGGACATGGGTCGGAGCTCACACCCAACGCCAAAATCGCAAACATTGGCCTCCGCATCAAATCTTCATGCTTTTTTCAGGGCTCAAACCCTAAACCCTAAGCTTATAATGATGCTAATGCGTCACCAAATCAGTAAATGACTTGCGAAGCTCAGGCGTCGAATCACCCCAGCTTTCAGTTTCAGCGTCCTAAACTCCCGAAAAAAATAGAACTCCTAGACGATCCGAGCCTACCTAGATTTCGACACCTACCGTGTTATTTGGTTTTCTGCAGGGTGTGTTGGCCTTCGTGTGATGTATGCATGTATGCAGTTCAGAACGATTGCGTGCGTCAGGGCATCCGCACGCTTGGTCCTTTTTATCCTCTTGCTTGTTCAGGCTGTAGGCTTCCAGGGTAGAAGTTTTGAAACCCTAAGCTTAGTTCTTAAGGTTTAGGGTTTAGGGTTCAGATGTTTTGGGGTATAGTTGGTGATAGCCACTCAAAT